TTCTGCCTTCTGGATGAGCTCTCTATGTGTATGTGAATATATTGCATGCCTAGAGGGCTGGGCAAATGGAAGTAGGGGTGTTTGGGTGAGTTTGTGTGCCAGGCATTGTGAGCAGTATTTGTGCCTCCTGTATGTTGCAAGTTGAGGCCAACCTCACAGGAAATTATTTTGAAATGAATACAATATGAAAAAAGTTTTATTTCTGATTTTATATGTAACATTGTTATTTCGTGAGTTTCATATTACACTTGAATGCATGTCTATTAACATATGAGATGTATGTATGATTTCATCTTGAATACATTTAAACATAATAGCAGTGGAAATATAATTTGTATTCTCAAATTCTATAAAGCAAAATAAATAAATCTTGAGGGTGGTAGCCCCATTGAGCATGTTGCTTTGATTTCTTTGGGGTTCATTCAAATTCATTACCAGCTTCCCCTTGCAAGTCCAGGTTGTCTCATGTCAGCAGCTCTGTCTGATCTAAACCTCTATACCTAAGTCATCTCATTTCTTCTGCCTCTACCTCTGGGGAGTGGTAGTATGGGCAGGTTTGTGGAGAACTGTACCTTTCGTATTGAAGGTGTGCTAGGGTCCAGTTCTTTTCTATGGTTCCTTCTGGGATCGCTGGTCATCGTCCAATAGAAGTCTCTGCAATGATGAAATGTTCTAGATCTTTATGGTTTAGTACCACAGCCTCTACCCCCCTGTGGCTATTGAGCACTTGAAATCTAACTAGTGCAACTAAGGAACTACATTTATGAGTATTATTTAATTTTAGTTAATTATAATTTAAGTAGCCACATGTAACTAGTGGTCACCAATTTGGACAGCATAGGATCAGAGCATTCAAGGTCAGCTGCCTGTCCCTAGATTCAAATGTGCTGATCATTGGCATTCTGCAAATCAAATGGTCTATGTGTTTTGGTGCTTGGATGATGCCCTGTGTTCGTCTCTGTCAGCTCTGGGGATGCTGAAGTGTGAATCTCTTTTCAGTGATGATTGGACTTCTCTCCCTAAGTCCCTACCCCCAACAGTTGTGTGTCTCACATCTTTTTCTCAATACACCTATCACCTAGCACATACTGGGTTTCTGATGAACATGGGAGAAGGGAATGGAAGAAGGGAGGGTAAAAGTAAATAGGAAGGAAGTTAGACATTTGGGAAAAGAGGAAGTCTGGAAGGAAGATACTTCATTGAGGTTTTGAAATCTGTAGTCAGGCCTTCTTAGAGCATTGAGAGGAGTTCTGAAAACAGTCCTCACAACTGTCGAACATGGAAAGTTCAAACCAAAAGAGAGGTCAGAGCTTGAGATGGAGATACCTGAATATTTCACATGAAAGGATTCTGGGCTTTTTGGGATGGCAATTCTCATAACAATAATTTTGCTGGTTAGTTGATTTCCAAAGACCATCCCAGGATCTTGGGGTCACTGTCCTAGGAGGCTCACCCCATATTAGCACATTGGGAGGGATCCTCTGAGATAATATTTTCTGGATCTGTTGTGTTCCTGGGAGGTGAGTAAGATATCACCAGATGCAGTTGTGAAAAGGGACTCTGTCTCTATCCATGTGATGAAGATTCCTAGCAGGGAGGGAGCTCTGGGGCATCCATAATCAAATTAAAGTAAGGAGCACTGCGACCTCCGGGGAAATATGCTGATAATTTTCTGGACTGTCTAAAACACTTCAACCCCCAGGAATGGTGATTTTATTTTCTGTACTCTCCTTGGGACTTGAGTTTCATGAAAGCATTTGCTGTCTTTGTTTTCCTTATTAAATGAGCAAAACCGACTTAATATACTGTTAGGACTTGAAATGTGGCTGAAAGAACAAAATAGATGGGCTTGACAGATGTCTCAGGTTCCATTTGGGTTATGTGGGGCTGAGGGGAGAGAGTAGGACTCACTGAAATAGTTGTGTTTTCTCTGATAAAAGTCAGAAAAGAAAAATGTGGACCAAAACATAGGAAAATCATGAAAGGAAGCTATACTGGTTTATGGCAGGTCATATTTTGTTTTTCTGAATAGAGCTGGCCCTAGGATTCCCTTAAGCATTTTTGTTTATTTGCATGTTTCCTGGGGGATAGGGGTATTCTTATTTTTTTTGGTGCCTTGTTTTTCTGCACTTTAAATCATTTTCACACTTAAATAACTACCTCAGTCCCATTACTCTCGATCCCTTACTTTCATTCTCTCATTTTCCATTTTACAGGCGCTTTCCCTAGCACTTCCTCTGCAAGCTTTCAGAGTGGGCTTTCTAAAATATAAACCTGATCCTGCCAGTTCATTTCTAAAGAGCTTCAGTGGCACTAACAGCGGATGTCAGCATATGTTTTCTGTAAAGGACCAATAGTGAATAATTAAGGTTTTGTGGGCCATGCAGTCTCAGTTAAAACTACTCAGCTCTGCTATTGGAGCCGTCGACAGTATGCAAACCAATTAGTGTGGTGTGCTGCAAGAAAACTTTATTTACAAAAAAAATGCTGGATTTGGCCATTGGACCAATCTCTGGCCCACAGGATACTCTTGATACTTGGGCCTGGCATTCAAGACCTTTTGCCATTTGACCTCAGCCTGAACAACTGAGTTCCCATTCCCATTATTCTCAAGCCTCTGAACAAATGATGGTTTTTAAAAAGGTTCTCTCTGTTTCCCTCCCTCCCTCTTTCCTTCATTTGGATTGCCATCTTCCCTGGCTTGTTAGTGTTTTGTGAGTGGGCTCTCCATGCCTCGCCTTACACAAAGCTCTCCCCAGTGCCTCCCAGGCCGTCAGCCCCATTCTCTGCTAAAGTTCTTCATGTCTTGAGTGTAGCTTTTGCAATATAGCTACTCCTCAACTGGACGTGAAGGGAGCTTAGTACCCACTGAACAAATGGTCGTGAAGTTGATCCATCAGTGAAATTGTGAGTCTCTTAATTATAGGAGAGTATATTAACTTGCGAGTAAAAGAAAACACTGCAAACCCCAGATATGCCACAGGAAGCCAGGAGCCAGTGTTACTGGAAAGGGGACAAGGTTAGACGTCGGGAACACAGCTGGGTCAAAACCATCAGAACAGTTGCAGCCAGGACTATCCGGGAGCCTTTGAGCAACAAGCTCATTGTGCGGGCAGGGGTGTGAGTGAGGAGGGAGGGAAGCAGTGTCTAGTTCAGGGCATCAGGACCAGGATGAGGATGCAGCCTGCTGGAGAGAGATCAGAGAGAAGCAGCCAGCATGATTAATGGGATGGAGGGACTGACTCATGAGGAAAGATGAAAGCACCCCAAGGAGATGGGTAGAGGACCGACAGGGGCAGATGAGAGCAGGCTGCAAGTATGTCAGATGGATAAACACCCAGGAGGGAGCAGCTGGCTTCATCAGGGAGGTAAAGGTGAGGGCTCCATCGGAGAATGGGGGTGGGGGACTCATAAAGGGCATCGGGGGGTTCATGGAAGCTCAAGAAATAACAGGTGGGCCCAAGACAGCTCTGGGCTATTGGAGGGAGAAACACCATGTAAAGACTACCCTGGAGTGACTCTTCGGGGAGCCTGGATGCGCTACCCTGTAGGGCCTTGCAGCTTGCCCTTGGCCCTGAGAGGTGACCTTAGCCTTACTCTCTCTGCTTGACAGCCTGGCGGGGCCTGGCCAGAGAGGGCTGCAGGAGGGGAACTGTAAAGGGGCACACGGAGAAGGACAGATGAACTAATTTCCCACCCTCCTCTTAGATACAGGTTACTAGTTGTCATGACAGTTTCAAGGCCTCTCTTCTGAAGTCAGTTTTCAGCCAGCCCCAGCCTGTCTTTGGTGAAACTGGAGATACTTGTTCCAAGCCCAGGACTCACCGCTGCCTGGCATGTATCGGATCAAAATTCAGCCCGAACCCTGTTTCGCATCCTGCACCCTGGCCTGTCAGGCATTTGGAAGATGAGATTTATTTGAAATGCAGTCAACTACCTTCAGACTCAAAATCAGCTTCCTTCAGGCATTCTCTGAAGTGTCCTCTGATGCTGAGAAGAGCAGCTTGTGTTGTAGCCTGGCCACATGGCCCACTTAACAGCAGGTCCCCAACAGCTAATTTACTAAAGCCATCCCCCACCTCAGCCATGTGTGAGAATCATCTAGGACACTTCTAAAACATACCCAAGCTAGCCAGGGTGACTCATGCCTGTAATTCCAGCACTTTGGGAGTTTGAGGCAGGCAGGTCACTTGAGCCCAGGAGTTCGAAACCAGCCTGGCCAACATGGTGAAACGTCATCTCTACAAAAAATGCAAAAATTAGGCAGGCATGGTGGTGCACACCTGTAATCCCAGCTACTTGGGAGGCTGAGGCATGAGAATCATTTGAACCCAGGAGGCTGAGGTTGCAGTGAGCTAAGATCACACCACTGCACTCCAGCCTGGACAACAGAGTGAGACTCTGTCTCAAACAAACAAACAAAACCATACCCAATCCTAGACCCTCACCCCCAGAAATTCTGATTTAAATAGTCTTGGCACAGAAGGCTAAGACACTTCAGCATCAGTATTTTTTCTTAATGTTCCCAAGATGGTTCTAATGTCTTGAGAACCATCCCTGAATAACCCTTTATTTAAGTGTGATAATAATTCACATAGGTGTTACTCTTCTATATTTCTCTGTAACTGCTGACTATAATATCACTTGAAAGTTTTTTTAAAAAAAGCAAGCATTTATGGTGAGTCATCTGTGTACTCAGAATCTTGCTGGGGGCAGGATTTGAGCAGGGAGCAAGAACAGATCCTCACTCTTTGGGAATTTGTGGTCCAAAGAGTGAAAGACACTTAGAGCAGAACAGAATGAGCCCGGGGTGCTGACCTGCTGCATTTCAGAGGCTTTTGACATTCTGCATGTTGCAGCCATGCTCTGCTCTAGTCTTATTCTGGAGTCTGAATTCTAAGTCCAAAGACAGATGGCAAATCTCTCCCAATGTACACAGCCAGTTAACCTTTACTCTCAGGGCTTGCTTCAACAATTTTTTTTTTTTTTTTTTTTTTGAGATGGAGTTTCACTGTTGTTACCCAGGCTGGAGTGCAATGGCGCAATCTCAGCTCACCGCAACCTCCGCCTCCTGGGTTCAAGCAATTCTCCTGCCTCAGCCTCCCGGGTAGCTGGGATTACAGGTGCGCACCACAATGCCCAGCTAATTTTTGTATTTTTAGCAGAGACGGGGTTTCACCTTGTTGACCAGGATGGTCTCGATCTCTTGACCTCGTGATCCACCCACCTCGGCCTCCCAAAGTGCTGGGATTATAGGCGTGAGCCACCGCACCCGGCCAACAATTTCTTTAGGAAGTAGAAATGCCCTGGATAGTTATTTGGGTAACAAAAGCCCAAGACCTTCATGAATCTCCAAGTTCCTGAACCCAGCACAACAATGATTACCAAAATGGGAGGTCCAGTATAGTGGCATGCAAAATTTTAAGAGTATAAAAGTGATTTTTTTTCTTGCAATTGTGTATTTCATATGATGGGTGTTACAATATTATTTAGGTTGAATTACTGTAGTTCTTTAAGCAAAAGACAAATGAGAAAACATAGGTAAGAGTATTGGTGGTATGCAGATACAGCAAAAAATGGGAGGTTGTGTGCAACAGGCTGAAGTTTGCAAAACTGCCCTGGGGTACATGACGGGCTCTGGGGAGTTCAGTGTTTCCTGCAGCCTCCTCCTTCCAAACTCCTCTAAGGTTTTCCCACCATCTAAGGAGCATTTTGCCCTTATCATTTCACTTTCTGAAATGGTTTCAAGTCTTTCAAGTGGTTCGGGCTTCGTGGAGAAAAACAACTTTTCATGTTACAGTTTTGAGGTTCCATTATATTCACTTTCCAAAGTTTCAAATCACTTTCTTAATCTCTTCTCTTTTTGGATATTTCTGTCACTAGAACTAGCATTTTTGGTTGCTTTAGGAAGCTTTTCACAGACAAAGAAAAAATTACATAATTTTACCAGTTTCTTGGGAGAGAAGAACCTTGAGATGCGGACTGTAGGAGGCTGGTTAAACTAAGTCAGTTATAGTAAAGTGATGCACTTCTGAATACCCGTCTCATGAGAAGTGCTTTTCAAATGTTACATCTCAAAACACGTGCAGAGTACACATTCTAGGCATACAGATTCACACAGTCATAGCTGATAGAGGAACTGACGAAATAGTGATCTTTAGGGGTGGGGGCAGGGGTGTAAGTACATGAATTTTAGAAACACAGAAGTAACATGTCTCCAAAGAGCCATCTGTTTTGTGCTGTTTGTTTTATATCGAGAGTTCTGTGAGTGCAGGTAAACCTGAGAATTCTTAACCTGAAAGATAAAATGTTTTAGTTGTATGCTTCACTGTACATTTTATTTGATACGCTTATATCAGCTTCTTGCCATGACAGATAATTTTCAATGATAATCTTAAATAATTGTGTAAAGGGATAGCTAATGCCTTGTTTTATTTATAATTTGTCCCAGCTGTAGGCATTCAGATGAAACTTGAATTTTTCCAAAGGAAGTTCTGGACTGCCAGCAGACAGGTAAGTTATAATCAGCATCTTGAAGCATTAGCGACACTGTTATTATACAGGTGTTCACATTTGGATACCTGGAGCCTAAAAGTGCCAGATTTCCGATGAATGTTTGTAAAACGAACTGCTGGCTGCTCAGATTACCTTTCATTTCACTGCAAAATAAAGGGCTGTCAGCATGTTAGACACCACATGCTGAGCAAAGCAGGGAATTGGCTCCTAGGAACAGTTTTTTTGTGTGGGATCAAGATAGTGACCTTCCAAAGATGATTTTCTTTTAAGTATCGAGGCCTCTTGAGTAATTTTCATACTGACTTTCTCCTAATCCTGTGGTTGTGCCTGGTTACTTACTTGTCAATCTCATTATCAAAATTTTGAAACTCTGCATAACTGGGTTTGCCTAAACGTGTACCTGACTTCTTTGTTCACTGGGTCAACCTTGGAGAATCTGGGAACATTTTTTTCTTTTTGCTATGCTCTCTGTACTAAGTAATCTCAGTGGTATTTGTTGAGTAATCTGGTAGAAAAAGCCACTGATAAGTTGCTTCCATCTGCCCAAATCTAGATGTTAGAATGGTTTATCATCCCTTAAATTAACAGACTTTAGGAAAATATAAACTAAGGAGACAGACAGGGGTTTTTAAAAGTCATTGAGAATTCATGAATTTTTAAATTAAATAATTATATTTTTAGTTATTCTATTATATTTTAGTTTTTTATTAATATAAATATATTTTTAGTTATTTTATTAATTTTATTATATTTTAGTTACCTAATGATTTGAGATCTTAAAAAGATATCATTAATTATCATTAATGTTTAACGACAACATAAAGTAGACAAAAAAGAGCCAGCTCCCCCATCAACTTTTTTTTTTTCTTGAGAGGGAGTCTTGCTTTGTCACCCAGGCTGGAGTGCAGTGGTGTGATCTCAGCTCACTGCACCGTCCACCTCCAAGGTTCAAGTGATTCTCCTGCCTCAGCCTCCTGAGTAGCTGGGATAATAGGTGCCTGCCACCACACTAGCATAACTTTTGTATGTTTCAGTAGAGACAGGGTTTCACCATGTTGGCCAGGCTGGTCTTGAACTCCTGACCTCAAGTGATCTGCCTGCCTCAGCCTCCCAAAGTGCGGGGATTGCAGGTATGAGCCACTGTGCCCCGCCTCGCTCAATTGTTTTATAGATCTTTTCTTTTACATTACTACTTGGAATTGATACTGATTCTAGAGACGGTAGACAAGACACGTCATGAAGCATTCCTTTTCAATGAAATTGGGTATTTGAATTCTAGCCCATGACTTGGATAGCTTGTCCTTAAGTAGCTCAGTGGCAGCCATAGCTGCCCAAGTAACATATTTCCCTCTGCTTTTTGCCCTCACAGTGTGCCTCCCTGGATGGAAAATGCTCCATCAGCTGCGATGATGAGGTAAGACAGCCTCCTGGTCCTGTTTCTACCCCTGTGGAGAGAAGGTGACATGGTGCTTTATGAGAGAGGGAATGCCCTTGTAAACAGGGCCAGGTTGACACATTACACTGGGTCAATCTAAAAAAAAAAGTCATTTGCTTTATTTGCTTTCTTATTCCCCCCCACCACCCCTGTCAGTTTATGACAACAGCTGGAAATGTGTTTTAAATGTCTCATGGACAGCACTATTGGAATTTTGACATTTTTGTAGGAAATAATACAAATTACTACTGTTTGGAGCTCACATTACAATTCTAGAACCGTTTTCTATATGCCTTAATTTCTTTCCATCCTTGTAACAACCCAGTGAAATAGGAATTGTTGACCCATTTTGCAGATAAGAAAAACTGAGGATCAGAGAAATTAAGTGGTTCAGCTAAGCAAACAAAAAAATCTAGGAGTTGAAAACTTTGAAACTCAGAATTTTTCTTTCTAGCATACTGCTTCATTCCTACAACTCTTTTCTTCTTTTTTCTTTTCTCTCTTTTTCTCCTCTCCTGTCTTCTCTCTTCTCTTCTCCCTTCCCTTCCCTTTCCTTCCCTCCCCTCCCCTCCCCTCCCCTCCCTTCTTTCACTTTCCCTTTCTCTCCTCTCCATTTCCCTCCTCTCCTCCCCCTTCTCTCTTCTCCTCTTTATCTCTCTCTCCATGTCTTTTGGGAGGAGGGATTTTAATCCTACTCATGAGCAATGCAAGATGAAATTGCGCCACTATCCAAAGTGTTTCCATCTGCCTTATGTTTTTATACCATGCCATCCTGTACTCTCTGTCCCATGTTTTGTAGCAGGGAGAAGCATAGTGGCCTTTTCACTTTGCCTGAGGTAGTCTTTCTCTCTCTGCATCAGAGAAACAGCAGTCAATATATAAACTAGACCTTATAAATAGTTGCATATTTATATTCCTTCTGGTTATCATGAGGACTTAAGAAATCCTAACCAAACAATTTCAACCCAGAAAACGTAGATTAGGAACTAGAAAGTAGACAAAGGAGAATTAAGTAAGGAAATGTAAAAGGGAGTCCAGGATGAAGTTAAAATAAAATACTCAGTCCCAGAAGGTCTGGCTGCTGGTTAGAAAATCATCATCATTGTTTGAGTCACAGTATCAAAAAAAAAAAAAAAAAAAGCCAGTCAACAAAGTTTTCTGCAAAAGCCCAGGTTTTTGTGATCATTAGATCAACACTAATTTCCCTGTAGGAAAGAACACCCTGTGAAGTTATGGTCCACACCCTTTTCCGTAAGTTCAGGGATAATTTTCGTACAATAGTCAAGTGGGCCTCAAGCCTTTCCCATGTCTTTGAGACATTTACTGTATTATTGGAGTGCTCAGCTCAAGAACAACACAACTCAGTAGTAATTGTGATTAATCGGTGTCTTGAGGCCCCATGGTAAACTCCTCACTTGCACAGTGGGTATAATTATGAATCCCAATTTTACAGTAAGAGGACTGAGGATGGTTAGTTGGCTGATTGGCTGATTATACAGATGGTTGGTCAGGTGGCTGATGGGTAGGGCAGTAGCTTGGATAGTTGGTTGGCTCATTGGTTGGTTGGTTAGGTAGCTGGTTGGTTGATTGGATAGATAGTTGGATAGTTGGTTCAATAGTTTTATAACTAAAGCCAGAGACAGTAATCTTCCTAGAACCCACATTGCCTCAGTGCATCCTCTTATAAAAGCAAATGGAAATGGATTTCCACCTAGAGTTGGAAACATCCAGTGAATGTCTGTTATTCAGTGACTGCTTTCACAAGTGCTCTAACATGGTGGTTGAAGGCAAAACTACAGTTACACAGACTAGCTTCAACTTGTGACTCTGACAGTAATAACATATGTGACCTTGGGCAAGTTTCCAAACCTTTCCATGCCTCAGTTTTCTCAACTATACAATAGGGATAGAAATACACACCTCACAGAGTAATGGTGAAGAATGAATGAGATAAGATATGAACAATGCATGGTATGGCTCCTAGAAACGGTAAGCATTCAATAAATGTTAGTTATAACATTTTTTAAAAACTAAAGATATTTTCTTCCATGTTGTGGTTTCAGGTTGCTGGATTTGAAACCTCAGATGGCAATAGTATGTACACTTTGGGCCAGTGACAATTTCCCCTGGGCATAGTAAGCACAGGCTATGACCTCTTCCTCACTACTAACAATATTCTTTTAGCAACTGTTGGGATAAACCCCTATTCAAATATTTAAAGGTCCCCATGCTTTGAAAATTAAGTCTTGAACTTGATCTGATGCTCGAATGTCCTGAGTTTGTACTTTGAAGCTGTCGTCTATTGTCCTCTTTGACATTTAAATTTTGGCTCCAGGCAACCAGTTGACATTGTTTTAAATAGAAAAGTCAGCCCTGCCTTCTCACCACTTTCCATTGTTTCAGCAGACTCTAGCCATGTGTCATTCTCTTTTTTATAACTTTTAATTAATGTTCCTCCTCTCCCCCAACTTCCCTCAAATAATCAGGTCCCCATTAAAAACAGCTGTGAGGGCTCATTAAATTCAGTGCTTCTGGCTTTTCCACTGCACTGATGACCTGGCCCAACTCCTCAGGCTTATCAGACATACTTAGCGATAAATCAATCCACTCCAGCCCCTTTGTCTCCCCCGTCAATGCACTCTCTGGGCCTTGGCAGAAGTGCCCTGGCTGGTAGGAGGAGCCAGTGTGCCAGATGCTCTGCCATCTTGTAGAGGCACATCTTTGGTTGGTCTAGTCAGAGCCTGAGCCATGTTACTTGGAGGACCTGGCCATGGGGGTGACTGTTAAGGAGCTCCATTTCACCCAGGGTGAATGTTAACTTCAGAGCCATTGAGGCAACAGTTCACACACTCACTCCTTCCTTGAAGACATGTTTGCTGAACCCTTCTTAGGCACCTGGTGCCTGGCTGAGCCCTGGGCATTCAATGGGAAGCAAAGTCAGAAATGGTCCTGCTCTCCTGGAGCTTACTGGTGAGCAGGAGAGAGAAACTTACGTGATCATCAGTTGTGATAAGTTTTGCAGAGTGAACTGACATGCAGTGGTCAGGGAAGGGTCTTCTGACAATTTAAGTCAATGGAAGAAGGAGATGACATTGAAGACAATGCTCTGAGAAGAGCTTTGCAAGCAGAGGACACCACTGTAGAGGCACCGAAGTGGCAAAGAGTCACTGTGGTCAAGGAAAACACAGTTAGCATTCAGGTCAGAAGGAAGAAACGAGGGTCATGTTCACCTCTAATCTCAGTCTGACCTGTAGGTGCTAGTGTTTCCTCACTGCATTCAGTCTCTTCTTCCACTCACCTCTGCAACACTTCTCATCTGATGACAGCACCAGGAATTGGCAAAGACAGGGGAAGGTGAGAAGGTGTCTCCTACTGAGGCATTGGAAGAGGTGTGAGGGCAGTGAGAGGATCGAAAACTTCATGATCAAAGTCAGCTCTACCCTTTCTTGTACCAGAGGAACAGAGACTAATAACCCCTATTAAATATCTCTAAGACTTTTCATGGCCTTGTAGGCATTTCCTCTGGTATCAGAAACACCTGCTTGAATTATGACAGGGTGAGGAGAAGGGCTGCCTCGAGGCAGCCAGGCGCCTGCATGTTGGACCACCCAGCTCAGCGAGAGGGTGGGTTTTGATGATCCTTGGAATAGCGACAGAGGATGGGCAAGGGGCCACAGGTGACCCCTACTGAGCACATCTTTCACAGGTGACCCCTCTGCAATAAATTTTTTCAAAAGGCAATCTTCAGATACGATCGTTCGTTAATGAAAAGGCAGAGCAAATGGTGTGAAATAAGTGTCATGTATTCCACAACGGAAATACTAGGGTTAGATCACGAAACCTGGAGAAAAGGAGCAAGGAGTGGCGCCTTCCTGTGCCTGAGGTGCAGAGATTCGGGCCCCACTCTCAGATGCAAGAACCTAGTGTGTGTGTGTCTCTCTCCCTCTCTCACTACAAATGAAGACAACAGGCAGTATGATACCAGCTTTCTAAGTGAGTTGTTTCACCAGTCAATGCAAACAAAAGGCATCCTTCAAAATAAAAGGCAAAAAGAAAAAGCAAAAAAGCTCAGCCAGTCTGCCAGGACCTCCTGCTAGGAACTATGTAACAACTTCCCTTTCTGAAAAGCTGTAAAATTGTAGCATTAGGATGCTTGTAAAAATGACACATCGTAGGTGACCAATAAACATTTGCTGAGCAGATGTCAGCCTGTGTTCTTGGAGGACTTACTGTGCACTAGGTACTGTGCTCAGTACTTTAAATGCACACTCCCATTTAATCTTCTCAACAACCTTATGGAATAGTTGTTGCTATTTCCATCTTTCAGATCAGAAAACAGACTTGGAGCCTTAGAAAGACTTTGTTCAAGGTCACACGGATAGCAAATGTCATTCTCTGATTCTAAAACTGGCGCCTTATCCTTTGGGCTAGTACGCCTTCCAGTGGACACAGGGTTAGTACTGCCATTTGTCACTCCCAGGCACCCTGCCCTTCTAATCTGTGACTGCCCAATTCCCACGACCTGGGTTGGGGCTTTAACTTCAGGTATCCACTTGATCTGCCTCAGTGACCAAGAGTCAGACTTCTCTGAGTAACACTGAGCCATCCAATAGTTGCAGAATGATGCGTATTTTAAAACATCAACTTCTCTCTGTGCTCTCTACCCCCACCCTTTATTGTTGCATTTTTAAAACAACCTCATTTCCAGATGTTTTGCCAAAGGTAGCTGTGCAGTAGGTGCTTACAGTGTCTGTTTGAGCCCCTAATTTCTTCAAGTTCTTCAACCTGTTAGTGCACCCTTGGGCAGGGTGACAGACAGACATCTTTTAAGGTGGTGGGCTTGGGGTAGCATGGTGAGGGAAAGCTAAGAAAATACTTCCCCTGTTTCCTTTTATTGGACCGACCATATGGAGAAGGCAATTGAACATTATTTATTGTAAAGTGACATAGAAAAAACATTTGATCAGACTGGATTCTAG